TCAGCATGAGGCCTGGCAAGGTTCAAAGTCCACGAACGCCATCAGAGTGAAAAAGTGATTCCGCCGAGTCAGCACCCAAAATTTGTGAAAGTTGTCCTGAATGTAGAAAACTTTTTATAGCTCTCTTAAATATAGGGTAGCTATGCTTGGTTATAATACTTCTGGGCAGCTTATTCCAGATTGCTATGGCATTTACTGAAAAGCATTAACGGTACTTAACTGTGCGTGCCATAGGAAGAAATAAAAAGACATTTCGATGACTGGCGCGCCTCGAGTGCTCATACGTAATTTAGGCTTAGGGGCCACAACACTGATCTCTTAAATTCCTATTTGCATGCGTTTTTCAGTAAGTGCGAGCAGTTCCCAATATTTGTGTAGTTGCACTTGTTACTTATGGTGCACTTTGTTCCTCTCTTTTCTACTTATAGAAGCTCTAATTGTTGATTTACATCCCCTTTGCTCTGCATTGACCAAACTGTATAATCTCTATTATTCCCGGTCCCGTACTACACAAGGGCGGGGGGTTCCGAGTACTTTTCTGAGAGTAATATAAACTTCTACCTATTTCCGCTTCGATATTGCCTGCTTTTCCTGCATAAAGATTTATGACGGAAACTCTTCGAACAGATTTTGCTGACGTTTATTTTCCAGAAGGTCGCGGCTCCTAGAGCTATGAAATAAGCAGATGAATTGGGGAACATAAGTCAAGCTAAGTACTGGAGCGGAGTGCCGTTGGCGATTCCGACAAAGAACGGTATTGTTAAATGAAAAAATTAAACAGCTCAGCAAATCGGGAGATTTTCTGCAGATCGCAAACTGAATTGGGTTTCAGATAGCTCCTCTTTAGGCCCTGGAGTACACGCGAAAGAATAAATGCTGATTTATTTAGCTTTGAGTAACGTCCTACGCCTTTTATCCTCGTCTTCATCATTGCCAGCATCTCCTTCCTTAGAGTCTTCGGCCTTCGCGGCGAGGTCATCTTGTTGTGCACGCGCTTCCTTCTCCAGGGTGGACAGAGCACGGCGCAAAAAAGACATGCTTTTAGGCAGACTTTGACCTTCCACAGTACGGCGAAGCATTGAACTGACTGCCCTCTGGAAGATAACATCAACCTTCTCCTTTTGCACCACCTCCAACATCTGGTCGTCCTTCTCCTGTCTTGCAAACAAGGGGTCGCTAATGAGGAGGTCGACAAGCATATTGGGGTTAATCTGTATGACATCTCGATCGACAATGTTTCCGACAGTCTCCATGTTTTCATTTTTCAGCGGAGAGTCACTTATCAGGGGATTCTGAGTTATGAACAGCTCCCGCACGAGCAGAATCAGCATTAAAATGGCCAGGATCAACTGGGTAGTACAGAGCCCCATAATTGTTTCTTTTGCCAGTACGGGTTCTTTCTTAATCAAACATCCTTCCGATTCAAGGGCGTTAGATATAGAATCAGCAGCTGGCATTTTGTGTTAGTTTGGATGTAGCTGTTTACATCGTTGAAGTGCTAAACAGAATGTGTGCGTGTGCGTATGCAGTTAACACGTACAACGGCGGCTTATCGATCGATTTTTGTGAAATCCAAACTATTGCGTGGATCCTCCACGAGGCTTTAAATCCAGCTTACTCTATTTTAGCCCCTAAGTTCCACAAGGGACATTTTTGCCAAAGGTACTTTGGTAAATATAAATATTAAATCAGCCCAGTTGTGACAGTTCTTATAATAATGTTATTTATCTATAGGCTTGTGTGTTTAACCAAAAGGAGTGTTTGTATAGTTTTCTTGGTCTATAAGCTTCCTTTAAATAAATAAATAAATTTTATATTTTAGGCTCGGAGGGCCTCGTCATTGCAAATTTAGTGCTGTGGAAAAATAAATACAAAGTTCGTAAGTGCTACC